CCAGAAGCTGGCGACTGATCTGCCTCGCCAGGGAAGAGCGCAATGATGGTGCCAACTTGGGCCAGTGAAGCAGCGTCCTCCACAACTAGATTGAAAAACAAAATGACAGCAACTTATCTGTTCCCCTTCCCCCAATTCCCCAGCACTGTTCCCATCCCCCCAATTACCCAATAAAAATCTTTAAAAAAAAAAAAATGCAAAACTTCCACACTGTGAGAGATGTTATATATGAAGATATAATACACTGGAAGAAATAAAAATACCTGTAAAGAGACCTGAACCTCATTAGTGATCAGAGACATGAAAACCACAGTTTTTTCAGATTTATAAGGTACCTATAACAAAGATGTTGGAGAAACTGATACATACAATCATACATTTCTCTTGGGGTTAAAAATCATTTAATAAGACCATTTTTTGCAGGGTAAAAAAAATCAACATCTTCAATTCTTAAATATACTGGGGGTGCCAAAAAAATGTATACACATTTTAAGAGATGTTATCTATGTATTATTTTTCTAAGTTTAGTTATAGTAGCAATGTGTAGTACAATGTTCTCTCAAAAGATGGCGTTAATCAAATGAATGCCAACGTCACCATGCGACAGGCAAGACAGTCAAAGAAAATGGTGGAAGCACAGTTGTTGTTCGAGGAGCTCAAGACCATTTTGGAGTGGTATTGGAAATTCAAGAACTTTGTGGAAGTGCAATGACAGTGAAGGTGTGAGTATGTAACAGAACTTCCAACACGCCTAACAATTGCACACATTCGTGATAAGGTTGAGACGCATGGTACTATGAGTGGTGTGCACAAGGGAAGATCCAGGAGGCCTCACATAGCAAGTCCTGCCTCTTCTGCTATGCTGATGGAACAGTTTACACGCTCACCACAGACGTAAACCAAGCAATGTGCACATGAGACAGGAGTTAGCAGAACAAGCACACGATGCATTCTTAGAACAGCAAAAAAAAGGTTTTTCCTTCCTTAAAATGCATACATGTTTTTTTGGCACCCTTTGTATATCATGATTAGAAACCACAAAGGAAAATATAGAGAAATATGACCTACTGATCAAAAAATTGATAGGTATATCAAAATTTAAAATTTACACAACAGAAGACACCATGAACAAATTAAAAGGCAAGTAGCGGTATGGGAAAACATAATACCATACAAAACAGAGGATTGATATTTAGAACTTTATGAGGAATTCTTCCTACAAAAGGTTAAGGAAACAAACTAATTTTATAAGGAATTCCTACAAAAGGTTAAGGAAGCAAACTAACTGAAAAATGGACCAAGGGTATGAACTGGCAGTTCACAGAAGAGAAAATTCGATTGGCCATTAAATAGGGGGGAAATCTATTATTATGAATCAAAGATATGCAAAGTAGAATGGGAATGCCATTTTCTACCCAAGAGTTAAATGGCAAAGATTAAAACTATATCAGGTATTAGGATATATATATTTTAGATACATAAATTTTAGATGGTAGTTTTCATATGTTTAGCCATTTTGGAAAGCAGAATGTAAAACTGGAAAATACCCATACAACCTTGAAGTGTTGCTTCTATGATACGTTCTGGGTTCACTCTGGCATATGGCATCAGACAATATGTACTAGGAGGTTAAGAGCACAAACTTCAAGATCCAAACCACCTGGTTCAAATTCTATCTTCACCATTTTATTGGCTTTCTAACCTTGGACACGTTATTTAATATTTAACCTCTCTGTACCTCTTGTTTCCTCCTCTACATCCCTGTTTTGGACAATGGGTAAATAAAATATCACTGTCATACAATTGAATACTATATAACCATTAAGAGGATCTAGATCTGTTACAACGTGGACAGTTCTCACAAACAATGTTGAGTGAAAAAAGACAAGTTTTAGAAACTTTGTGGCTGTGACACTGAAGTGTTATTAGGGTGGCATTCACACAGTCATTTGACTTTGTTTTGCTTATTCTAAGTAATGCAATAAAATGTCCTTCCTTGAAGATACAAAATTTTACATTATAATGCTAGTTTTAAACAAGAAACACCGTCCTAATGCACTTTTGTGCTCTGTTTCCAGTTAGAGATGTTTATGATTATTTCCGGGCCGTTTTGCAGCGTGATGAAAGAAGTGAACGAGCTTTTAAACTAACCAGAGATGCTATTGAGTTAAATGCAGCCAATTATACAGTATGGTAAGTAATACACATTATTAATATTCCCTATTTAAATGTCTCATGTTTTAGTTTGGATGGCTTTTCTTTTTCTTAACTGGACTTTAATTTTTATCAGAATAATAATTTATATATGAGTTCAGAAGTCAGAGACTCGATGAAAAATAGCAACCTCTGCCCCATTCCTTCTCACTCCCAGAATCCCACTCCCCAGAGGCAGTAACTCTTAGCTGTTTTTTTTCTTGAATTAAAGTGTAACTTTTTTTTCATTTTAGACATTGCTCCTTCTATGGAAGATACAGAGTTCATTCTCCGCTACACTTGTTTTATTTATTATTAACATTTTTGTGGTGGTTTTAAAAGTGATAATGTTTGTAATGGAATTAATTTATTATATAAACAATTATCTAAATGAACAAGCTGTACCATACAGGGAAAGAGAGGCCTTTGATTCTCATGTAATAGAACACAGTATTACCTGGAAATAATCATTAGTTGGTTGTCTTGTCTTCTATCTCACATTTGCCTTTCACTATATTTACTTCAAAATGCTTGATTCTTAGGGAAAATAGTACGGAGATTCTTCAAAAACTTAAATAGAGCTACCATGCAATCCAGCAATTCCACTTCTTGGTATTTATCCAAAGAAAACAAAAACACTAATTTGAAAAGACATATGCATCCCTATGTTCATTGCAGCATTACTAGCAATAGCCTAGATATGGAAGCAACCTGGATATCCATCAATAGGTGAATGGATAAAGATGTGGTGTATAGAATAGAATATTATTCAGCAATAAAAAATTGAAATTTTGCCATTTGTGACAACATGGATGTACCTAGAGGGTATTATGCTAAGTGAAATAAGTCAGAGAAAGACAGATACTGCATCATCTTACTTATATGTGGAATCTAAAAAAAACCAAAATAAATGAATAAACAAAACAGAAACAGACCCGTGTGTCTAGAGAACAAACTGATGGTTGACAAAGGGGAGGGGTTCGGGTAAAGGGAATTAAAAAAAAAAATTTGTTTTTAAATGCTTGATTCTTACAATCACCAGATAGTCATATAAGTTTAGACAACCACACACACACACACACACACACACACACACACGTCTAATTATGTTGTTGTAGCTTTATTTGACACAGTGGTTAGGCAATTCATGTGGAGTAATGAGACTTTGAATGCTTGATACTCAATGTAGGCATTTTCGAAGAGTTCTCTTAAAGTCACTTCAAAAGGATCTACATGAGGAAATGAACTACATCACTGCAATAATAGAAGAACAGCCCAAAAACTACCAAGTTTGGTAAGATGAAAATAAGAAGGAAACATGTCACTATGTTAATAGTACCTGTCAGTGCATGATGAGAATATAGGGAATTATTTGTTTCTTTATAATTTTATTGCTTTGGATTGGAGCTAATGTTACCTGTCTGATAGGGTTGTTAGGAGGATTAAATGAAATAAATTTATGTTTAGTACTTAAAATGGTGCCTGACCCATAGTTAACACTCAAATGTTTGGTACTGTTATTTAAAATTTTGACATTAGCATGTAATACTGCTAGTGTCAGAAAGAATTTTGAGTAAAGCAAATCTGAAAAAAAATGTTTTCAGTGTATCATAAAAATGACTTTTTGTATTTGATCTTTTATTCTTTTATTCAAAGTTTTTAGATTGATGCTGAAGATACAAAGATGAACCAGACACAGTCTAATAGGGGAAGCAAATAATAAAACCAGTCATTTACAGTGCAGTGTGAAAAGCATAATGGTAGAGTTTTTCACAGCATATTTATTCTAGAAATTAGGCCCCTAAATTAACATAGACAAGAATGTGGATAATTATTTAAGGGTGGAGCAGAACACAATGGAAAAAAGAAACGTTATGGAGCAAGAGGACAGAGAAATAAAGAGTCTGAACAGCACCCAGGATATAGTGAGCACCCCATGAATGGAAGCTACTGTGGCTGCTGTTCTTGTGATAGAGGAAGGGGAGGAGGAGGTGGTATTGTAGTGGTGGTGGAGGCGGTGATGTTGGTGTCATGGTGGTGATGGTGTCGTGGTGGTGGTGTCGTGGTGGAGGCGGTGACGGTGGTGTAGTGGTGATCGTGGTGGTGGTAGAGGAAGAGGAGGACATGGTGGTGGTGAAGGTAGTAAAGTAGAAACGACATGGTGTACCATCAAGAGCTGTCTCCACTTTCCACCGACTGCCTTCTCATAATGCAGGAGTTACCACCGTTTTATTTTTTTCCAATATAATGACTGACACACATACGACTCTATTTTCATGTCTGAGATTTAAGGATGACTTTTGAGAGGAAAGACTTGAGGCATATTATTCTGGGGAAAGGCATGAAAGAAAGAGCTCAATGGAATATAGTTCCATGTGATTCGGTATGTTTGGGGGGTCATGGGATAAGACCATAAAGGGCCTTATGAAAATTGATAGGGGGTGTGGATTTGACCTTAATGGCGGTGTAGAGCTACTGACAAGTTTTAATTAAGGAAGTAACATGATTGGGTTTGTGTCTTAGAAGGTTTGTCCTGACAGAGGGGTGGTACCTAAATGGAATAGGTTCACAGTCCTGGTAGGCCATTGCAATGGTATAGGTTAGTGAGAGTGTGGTGGGGTGGGAAAGATGAGGATAAATATAAGAAAGGTTTTGGAGACAGAAGCAACAGAATTTGAAGTTTAAATGACTAGAGGACCGACAGGATGATATCTATATATTTGGCTTGACCTCTGTGTGAATGGTGGTATCACCATCTTGGGGTATTTGGGAGACAAAGCAGCACATTTCTAGGAAAGAAGGATGGATTTAGTATTGGACAAATGGAGTTTAATGTGCTTATGGAAAACCTGTGTAAAACTGTCTAGTACATGGTTGTAAATGCTTATCTGGAGTTGAAGTCATAGCTGTGAAGAAGGGTGCCTAGAGAGAATTAGAGCAGAAGGTTGAGGATGGAACACTGGTGAGCATCATTATGTAAGAGGCAGAAAAGTTTTCCAGGATGACCAAGAAAGGAAACCAGAAGTTAGCATTGTCACAGAAACCCAAGAGAACAGATGACAATATCAACTACTGCTGAGAGGCCAAGGAAAGTAAGGACTAAAAGATGACCAGTGGATTTGTTAATTAGGTAGATATTACTGAGTGACCTTGGCATGAGCAGTCTTCCCACAATGTGTGAGGAGGAAAGTGGTAGGAAGAGGAAAGAAACCACATAGTGGGTTGAATCATAAATGGGAGATGAGGCTTGGCTGTTGAGAAAAGAAGACATAGCAAGTAGATAGCGAGGGGTATGTATTTTGGTTTTTCCAAGGTGGAAAACTTCTCTTTAGACAAACTTGTAACATGTCATAGCTACTTGCGAGAGTAGAAGTGAATTCAATTCTGTCCACACACTGGTGGAACAAGCAATTGCTTGTATGATGACACTTGGACTTAATGACAACTGACAGACTATTTATAACCAGAGGAGCTTCTATACTTATAAAATGGTATTATGTTTTCTATAGTCTCATTATGCCATCTAGGAATGTTTCAGAATTCTTTGACAGAATTTTGTGGTTGTCAGAAGATTACTGTACTTCAGATTTATGTTGAGATAAACCTCCTCTCTAAGCTGTAAACTATTTGGTTTCATTTTACACACAAACCACTGTTTTATGTTTTTCAACTTACTTAGTGTTCTGAAATTTTTTCTCTTAGTGTTTCCTTTGTGTTACCTTTTGTCTCCAAGAGAGTCTTGAGAATTAGGGATAGATTTGTTTCTTAAGTGTCCCTCCACATCACCTAGCATAGCACATGCAGCTGATTCTTTACTTTTTGGGTGGATTAACACAAACCTCTCTCCCTTCTGGCTTTAGGCATCATAGGCGGGTATTAGTGGAATGGCTAAAAGATCCATCTCAAGAGCTTGAGTTTATTGCTGATATTCTTAATCAGGATGCAAAGAATTATCATGCCTGGCAACATCGACAGTGGGTTATTCAGGTATTGCCTTGCTTATTACAGTGCTTTTCAGATTTTTATTTTTAACTCAAATAATTACAATTACTATTAAATTGTAAGTATACTTCTGAACTGAAACAGACATACAGATCATTACAATACATATATAGTTATTAATAATTATTAACATAATTAAAACCTGACATCCTTCATGTTAGTTAACCTTTATTATCTCTTGAGATATGTTGGTGAGTAGCTTCGTATTAAAGAAGAATAATAGTAACTTCTTAATATTTTTTAGATCAAATTTGCATCACATATTTGTTAGTAAATTGAATAGAAAAAGTAGTAATTTTTTAATAACAGGTGTGTTATTAACATGGGTATAGAACACTAAGGTTTTTGCATACATAAACTTTGGAATATGATTTTACAGTAATTATTATATATTTTATTTCTACCCACTTGTTAAAATTCTATACTAAATCCTGAATAGAAGAGAATAGCTAAAACTCCTACTCTGGACATTTATTTACTCTAGCAAACAATTCAAGTGTTGTTTCCTTTGAATTTTTTCCAGTGATTGCTACTTTCTGCACTATTCATTATACCAAAAGTATTTCACCATTTTTTTTACTTAAAATTTTAAACTTTTCTAAAATTGATTAAAGGGATACATTTTCTAAAGGTATTCAGTATTCTTACGTTTCATGAAATTCTACTTTTTTACTATTACAAATAAGAAATATAACTCCAGTAGCTTTTTCATAGTTAATGTCCCCAACTTCTGCAGCATTTATAAGTTTTGATCATTCTCCTCTTTTTTTCAAATTGCTCCTCCCCATAATTTTTTTTTTTTAAAGGTTTTATTGGGGAATCGGGGGAAGCGGAACAGACAAGCTGCTGATGCCTTGTTTTTCAGTCTAGTTGTGGAGGACGTTGCTTCACTGGCCCAAGCTGGCACCATCATTGCGCTCTTCCTTGGCGAGGCAGATCAGTTGCCCGCCTCTGGATGGCTGCTCACGGCAGCTGCTGGCCGCCTGCATTGGCTGCCGGCTACACATGGTAGTTTATGGCAGCCCACTGCAGCAGGGACTGCAGCCTATGCCGTCGCTGGCAACTCATGGCAGCCCAGCTCCAGGTCGAGCTGTTGCTCAGCATCTTAGCTGTAGAGGGCAGTGTCACTGGCCCTCATATGTGGGATCTGAACTGGGGCCTTTTGGTGTCCCAAGCCAATTCTTAACCATCGCGCCACTCGGCCAGCCCCTTTTTTTTTTTTACATTTTTTTTCTCCCCATAATTTTTTAATTAAACAGCTTTATAATGTAAAAAATTTGTCTAAATCTAATTGTGTATATTTCTCTGCATGTATTTTAATGTAATTTTGTCATATATGTGCATTTTGAATATTTTCCTTTTATTTAATGATATATTAATATAAAATTAATCAAATTAATATACAGTAGTTAATAATTTTCTTATTACTGAATTTGATTTTTTTCCTTCTAAATTTTTACCATAAACAGTGCATAAGCATTTAGTTAGATATGCTATATTTTGCTTTTGATTTAGTTCTTCGGAATAATTTTTGGGTCAAATAGTATAAACATGCTCTTGGTATCTAAATTATTCTGAAGAAGATGGTACTGAGTTACAGGCCACTTTGGCTGCTCTCTCTTCCTAGTGTTTTTCCTGCCTCATGACCATTCCCTTGTCTTTGGTTACATTCTTTCTCCTTCCATTTTCTTGACCTACAACTATCACTTTCCTCCAAATCTGAGCTAAGTCCCACATCTTCAGTTCAGCTTTCTTAGCTTTGCTGAAATTTATTTATTTTTGTTGTTTATAAATAATGGGACATTTCTAATTGGATAATTTATTATTTATTTTCTTTTAGGAATTTAAACTTTGGGATAATGAGCTGCAGTATGTAGACCAACTTCTTAAAGAGGACGTGAGAAATAACTCTGTCTGGAACCAAAGATACTTCGTAATTTCTAATACCACTGGCTACAATGATTGTGCTATATTGGAAAGAGAAGTCCAGTTAGTAATCTCCTTCACCATTCATTAAAAGAATATTTGTGTGTATACTATATCTCAGGCATTGGGGATACAGCAAAGGTCAAGACTGCCCTCAGTCTACCCTCATTGAACTAATAGGACAGAATACTTAGATGAAATCTATAGTGATATGTATACAAATAATATAGTATCCCTCTACTGTATAGTATCTTAACTTTCTTAAAATATTGTTGCAACTACAGATTGAAATTAGATTTCCTAATGTCTAGGAAGCTTGTTTCTCTCTTTCTCTCTCTCCCTCTCTCTCTTATTTTAAAACTATATCATTAAATTCTGTTGCATTGTAGATGATAGTCTCCAGCTGCCACATTACTCGAGTGTATGGTTTTTAACCAGATACTTCTGGTTGTAGGGGGCTGCCCTGTGCATTGTAAGATGTTTAGCAGCATTCCTGACCTTTATGCACACTCTCAAGACAGTCGCTGACTTAATGATGGTTCAACTTAAGATTTTTTTACTTTAGATGTTGTGAAAGCAATACACATTCAGTAGAAACTGGCTTGGCTAAAGTATGTTCTACAGGTTTGGTGTATTAAATGCATTTTCGACTTAAAGATGTTTTCAACTTACAATGGGGTTATTGGGACATCACCCCATTGTAAGTCAAGGAGCATCTATATATCAGTAGTAACTACCCCCACCCCAGTTGTGAGTTGTGACAAAAATGTTCCCAGACATTGCCAGATGTCCCCTGGGGGCATAATCGTCCCCAATTGAAAACTATTGGTCTAGCATACGTAAAGCTGTCATTTGAACATGTTTATTTTCATAGCCTCATGAGACCATACTCATAATTTTAATTATAAAAGTTATTTTAATAGCTCTTGGGAAGAGCTGATTTTTATGGCACATCTGCCTCTCATCTCCCGTGCCTTACTTCTGCTTGGATAAGGGCCACTAGCTCTTCTATTCTTCACATGGTCTTGTGATATAAATTTAAAAAAAAAACCAAAAAAAACCCCTACAATCCAGTGTCCTACACTAACTCTGTGCTCTGGGCTTCTCTCTGGAGCAGCCACGTACCCCTCCAGCACACCTGTGCTTTTTTTCTATTGCACTACTCTCCAAAGCTATACTGTCCAGTGTGGTAGTCACTAGCCACAGATAGCTCTTAAATGTAAATTAATTAAAATTCAATAAAAATTAAAAATTCCTCAGTTGCACTAGTCACATCTTAAGGGTTCAGTACCCCATGTGAATAGGACTACTATATTGGACAGCACAGATAAAGAACATTTCCATCATCATAGGAAATTCTATTGAATAGTATTGATGTAAAGAATAACTGAACTTACTGAAATAATTTTATTCTTAAGCAGACCTAAATACTGGGGCTTAACCATAGAAAACTCAGACTCATCTTTCAGTACTCTATTAACTATTTGTTTTTTCTTTTAGAGTTGGTATTCTGTAGTGAGGATTAGAAAAAAAGTGCTTTGAAGGAAAGCAAAGTTGTCATCCTTTAGAAAGTTCAGTAGCTTCCTTGCCAAAAGGTAGAATGCTTCAGGTTACCTTGAATGCTACCTTGAATTAACCCAATTAATAGTTAGGGATTTTAAAATATTACCTATTCCTTATTTACTATAGCTTACTATATTAGGAGTAATAAAGTATTTAAAAATTGAATATGAAGAGTTTGGAAAATGCAAACTTTTCTCATAGCCTTCAAAGGCAGATCGTTAGCTTTCTATTACTAAATCGAAACAGAAATAATCAGCCAAGAATCTAAGTTTTCTACCCTTAAGGTTTATTATACCCTTCAGATAGGTAAAATAAATATTTAAAATGCTAAGAATAACTATAGTTATCTAGAACTTCATTTCTTAATTTCTTTTAACTCTAAAAATTCAGATAGATATAGCTGATTATTTTCTGTATTTTTCCCCCTTTTATTATAAAAGGAATGTAGCTTAACTGTGGGGGGAATTGTACTGAATTATATAAAATAAAACCTCAAAATTCTCTATTCGCCCTCTTTTCATATCCCATTCTTTAGGGTAAGCTACAAGTAGTGTGAATCCTTCCAAGCCTTATAAATACATTTGCAAACATTATGCACAGTAGCCTAGGCAGTCATATTATACACACTGCTTTTTTCCACTTAATGTATCATGGCCATATTTCCATTGGAGTACATAATCTACTAGTACTATTAACAATAGTTACCATTTATCAAGCATTTACTGTATTCCAGGAATTCTTATTTAAGTCTCATAACAATACTGTGAGGTACCTGATGAAGAGCTTGAGATTCAGAGTAGTTCTGTAATGTGCCTAAGTGCACTAAATAATAACTGAAGGGGCTAGGATTAATGCGAGGCAGTCTGACATCACAGTCCATGTTTTAACCTTTAAAACAGATAATGCTTTAGTGCATGTATGTAAAAACACTTTTTTTCGGTATTGCCAAAATGAAATTAAGACTCTTCGACAAGAACCAGTTATGATCTGTAGGGACATGGTTTAACAAATAACTAAAACATTAGGTCATATAAAAGTAGTTGGAAAAAACCTCTTGATAATGTTGAATGAGTTTATTACTCTCTGTGAAAAAAAACCAAACTATTGTAGCATCACTGCAACAAAAGCAAGATTACTAAACTTTAGTCAGTGACTTATTTGAGCAAATATATAGTGAAGCAACGTTCTGTAACTTTCTTGGAGCTTGTTGTAATTGGATCTGAATTATATTTAATAATCTAGTTCAGGAGAAGAGAAAGGCAGGGAGTATTCATTTTGACTGGGAATCATATCCTAGTTTACTAGTAATCTTGTTTTGGAATATAAGGAATACACATTTGTGTTGGTTTCTTATTTTTAGTCTTTGTCTATATCATTTCCATGCTGTCTTTTTTTTTATTGTAGCTTCTAAGATTATATAGTTCTTTTTCAGTGACTAAGGATTTGTCAAGCATAAGTAGATCTTAGACTTTTCCCCCAAGATTGTTTTACCAATAAAAGGAAAATCTCCTTGTTTTAGATGATATTTCCTTTAGAGGGAAAGCCTAAATTAAAGAAGATCTCCCACATTAACTTATTTTTCGATTGTGTATTGAACCTTTTTCATATTAATTAAAATCCTTCCCCAGAATTAGATACAAATATACAGTAGGAAGGAACTATATAAATAAGAATTGACAACTGCAAAATGCAGGGATTCTCTAATTTAGATGTGACCTAGAGAAGTACCAAAGCCCACTAGAAGAAATAAGTGAAGGCACAGATCCTTCATGAAGGCACGCTGTGCTACAATCTTACTAAAACTGTTGTAAACTCTGCTCTTAAAAGTATAAACATATATATTTGTGTATAAAATACACATTTTTTTCTTACAGGTACACTCTGGAAATGATCAAACTAGTACCACATAATGAAAGCGCATGGAACTATTTGAAAGGGTAAGAGGTTGTTTTTGCTTGTTTTATAAAAAAACAACCTGTTAATATGACACATCATGGAATATGTTCCATAATCATATTCCAAAAAGATACTCAAGAATTTTCCATTTTTCTCTTAAGAGCTGAAGTGTAACAGTATTCACTTCTGTGTAAGAAGTGTAAGGTAACACCCACTTCTCTTCACCTTCCAAGCATATACCAGCACAGTCTTTAGAATAGACTGTGAGTAAACAACACAATTATAATTGTATTTATGAATCCCGTAGTCTTTATGTCAGAGAACGGAATACACACACTCAGTTTCTCTTCAGCTCAGAAACACAGTAAAGGCCAGGCAGACTATTTACAAGCAGGTTGCACAGATAGTTGCATAGCCAACCTTTCTGTTTTTCCTTCTAGAGCTCTCCTGTTACAAGTCTCACTCCTTAAATTAACAAGATTTCATTTGCCTGGCCACTGACATAACCAGGCTCCTTGAGGAACTTAGAGGTCTCCAGGGAATCTAGGCCCAGACAGCACAAAGTACGGAGCCCAGTCACATTGGGAAATGTGTCCAGGGTAGGGACTACAATATGTGGAGAGCTAAAAGGACAAGGAACCTTCTCAAGAAGAAACAAACATCTCTCCTGTATTTTTCCTTTGCTTTTTACTATTAAGAAAATAGTTTATTTTTTTTGCTCTAATTTTGTGTCTTGCAGTTTGAAATAAAAATGATCACTTTAAATTTCATTATTTTATTTTATTTATTATTATTTATATTTATTTTTTTGGCTGAGCCATCCTGCCACCTGTTTGCAGCTCAGCGACAGCTCAGCTTGGGCCGGGAATCAAACCAGCGACCCTGTTGCTCAGAGCTTGCACTCGTTTTTTTTTTTTTTTAAGATTTTTATTGGGGAATTGGGGGATGGGAACAGCGCTGAGGAATTGGGGGAAAGGGAAGAGACAAGTTGCTGTCCTTTTGTTCTTCAGTCTAGTTGTGGAGGATGTTTCACTGGCCCAA